AGAGAGAGGGAGACACAGAATCGGAAACAGGCTCCAGGCTCTGAGCCATCAGCCCAGAGCCTGACGCGGGGCTCGAACTCACGGACCGCGAGATCGTGACCTGGCTGAAGTCGGACGCTTAACCGACTGCGCCACCCAGGCGCCCCTGACTACTTTTAATATTAAACAAGATTTTGAAATGTACACTTGCTCTAATTTTTTTCAGTGTCAGTGCTTAGAGTATATATTAGTGAAAATGAATTCAAAACCATTTTACCACAGCAAAATGAAATGTGTCTTCTAAAAAACCCTGATTCCTCCTCATGAAACATTACTGATTCTAGGCTAGATTTCAGCATTAGTGAGGTATCATTTTTGACCTCATTCAAAGATCACACTAATTAGTTACTAAATTTCAAAAGACCCACATTTAAAGCAATTTCAACCACTAATGGACCCAAAAACTATTTTAGTAAACAGACTTGGTTTCATTCTTGAAAGCACCACTCTGACAAATACATTTCATTTGGTCAATACATATGAGCCCAAATCATAAGTGTAGCTTCTATAAGCAATAGCTACTCATTTTCAAATTAATTCTATTCTTGGCATCGTTAAGGCCATGACTCTGCTTATGTTCTCATTCAGAAATGGGAAATACACAATTTCAAACATATTGCAACCCTATCTGAAAAATTTTCAAGAATGCTATTTTCTTTAAGAATGGTAAGGATGTGGGGTGCCTGGATGGCTGAGTCGGTTAAGCATCCGATTTTGGCTCAGGTCACGATCTCACGTTCTATGGGTTCAAGCTCCGCATCAGGATCTGTGCTGACAGCTTGGAGCCTGGGGCCTGCTTCAGATTCTGTGTGTGTGTCTCTCTCTCTGCCCCTCCCCAGCTTGCTCTCTCTCTCTCTGTCTCTATCTCTCTCAAAAGTAAATAAACATTTAAAAAAAGATTTTTCTCTTTTAATATACAAACTAGATAAAATACATTAGTTAATAACTTTATACCAACTTTGTGTTCTTATAGTAATGGAATAATTCCAAGATCATAGTTTTTTAATACATTACTGAACTTGGTTTGCTAATTTTTAATCTTTTATATCTAGGTTAAATGAATAAGATTGGCTCATAATTTTCCTTTTTTTTTTTTTTTTTTTTTTAAGTAGGCTTCATGCCCAGTGCAGAGCCCAATGTGGGGCTTAAATTCACTACCTTGAGATCGAGACCTGAGCTAAGATCAAGAGGCAAATGCTTAATCAACTGAGGCACCCACGCGTCCCTTGGCTCATAATTTTTTTGTTCATACTGTGATGGTTAATTTTAGGTATCAACCTGGCTGGGCCATGGTGCCCAGATATTTGGTCAAACATTATTCTGGATGTTTCTATAAGAGTGTTTTTTTAAAATTAATTTTTAAATCTATGTATTTTGAGTAAAGCAGATTGCCTTCCATGACGGGGGTGGGCTTCATCTAATCAGTCTAAGGCCTTAAAAAGAACAAAGACTGACCTCTTTTGAGTAAGAAGAAATTGTGTCAGCAGATAGCCTTCAGAGCTGAACTGCAACACTCACTATTCTCTGAGTCTCCTGTCTGCCAGGCCACCATGAAGACTATTGACATGCCAGCCTCCACAACTTAATGAGTCAATTCCTTAAAATAAATCTATCTCTCTGCACATTCTATTGGTTCTATTTGTATGGAGAATGCTAACTAACACACATACTAGCCATTACAGGTTACACTCTATCTCCCAGAATTCACAAATTGAAGCACTTATTCCTAATGTAACTATGTTTGGAGACAGAGCTTTTAGGGAGGTAATTAAGGTTAAATAGGGTTAGAACAGCATGTGGGAATGAGAGATATTGTAGCTATCTTTGGGAAAATACAATCTGATACAATGGGTTTCTATTGAATTTTTTTTATCTGAAGTAAAACATGAGATTGCTTAAATGATATATTTTAGAATAAAATATGTAATTATATGTTTTAAAAGAGCAGTCTCTCTCCAACTTTTAATTACTCTATGGTATAAAGTAATTCAGAAAGGAGGATTTTATGAAATATAATTTTACATATATATAAAACCTTTCCTAGAGTATAAACTTCTTAAGCCCTTTTGCATCTCTTTTATTATTACCCGCAGCTCCATTTTCACAAGTATTACGAGAACATAGTATTAAAAGTATTTCACAAGTATTACAGTGTGCACTTAATAAATAGTAGTAATGAGAGTTATAATACAAGATAACTTCTAAACTTATAAATTCTATATTTATTATTTTCATAAAATTCCAGAAAAAGGTGAAGACCAAAACTAATAAATGAAAGTAATCTCCACCACATTTTATTGCTTCATATGAGTAATTTTTCCTTTTGTCTTATGAGTTACAAGTCTTCCCAAATTAATTGCCTCCTTATTTGTCTCTCTCCAAGTTGATTTAAGTCTCTACAATTAGGGAACATGTCTGTCTTGTTCACTATTGTATTCTTTTTTTTTTAATATAATGTATTGTCAAGTTAGCTAACATACAGTGTATACAGTGTGCTCTTGGCTTTGGAAGTAGATTCCCCACTATTGTATTCTTTATTCTTAGCACAATGCCTAGCACATAGTAGGCACTAAATGAAGAATTAATCCTAGATATTAACCACAGGCCTTAAATTCATATTTACAATGTTGCATAAGTTGTTTCCTTCCTTTCACATTCAAAATGTACTTTAAATAGACCTAGCCCTAATATTTAGGTGCTTTGGCATGATGACTTTAGTGAATGTGGGTCTACCTAATTAGTTTACAGAAATCAACGCTTGATGTCAGTAACAAAGAACAAATAGAGACTATTTAAGATACTTTCAAAATGACTTATTAATTTAATAACAACAACTGTATTAGAGAACTTTAAATAGAAATCACTATCTGTAAAAATATCTAGATCCAAAGGGCATATTAGTTATTTAGTAGAAAAACTACTTTATGCATTACTTTTTTCTTTTCAAAAGTATGTTTCTATTTTGGTTACCTGAAAAGGAAGTAGAGGGCTCCAATGATAAGAGTTCCTAGAAGAATAGTCAATGACACAAAAGCTGCAAACAGGTCACTTTTAGTTTGGATGCTGGAGCTTGGGAGAAAAACCTCTTCACAACGAGCTCCTGTATAATTTTCAGTGCATCTACAGAATAAAATTTTAGGTAAAGAACTGCATTCTCTGTTCCATTAACTAATATAGAAAACAAAAGGTTTTCAGCTGGTATGAAGAGTAAAGAAGACTAATTTTTCAGGTTGTGAATATAAAGTAGGCATGCTTTCCTATAATGTTCACAGAGCTACAGTTATAATAAAACACATTAGCATACGCAATCTAATCTTTCTAATCTTCCTTTTCTGGTTTTCTCAGTGCTTAGAAACTGCAGAGAAATTAAAACATATTAAGTCCTCTTATCTTCTAGATTTTCAATAATGTAATTATCTACACTTAACTTAAATTTATCTGAGATTTATTTTGTTACATCCAGTATAGATGCGGGTTTAAATGTACTTTTCTACAATATTGCTAACTGCTTATTCTCACCCTACTTATTAAATAATCATTCCCTTACCTACTGCTTAATAGGGCCTCTGTTAACATGTCAAATCTATATAAAGAACATTTCTTTCTACCATGTTCTACACATCTAATGTTCTACTACACTGCTTCAACATGGTTGCTTTATAATATGTTTTAATATCTGGTAGCTCTATTTCCTATAATTTCCTTTTCTAGAATATTTTTTATATTTTCACTTGCCAACCAAATATTTTATGGCAAATTTTATTCTTTTATGTAGGCTCTATACTGAATGTGGGGCTTAAACTCACAACCCTGAGATCAAGAGTCACACGCTCTACCAACTAAACCAGCCAGGTACTTCTGCCAACCAAATATTTTAAAGGCGATTACTTTCAGCTCCTTAAAACTATACGGCAAAGGACTATAATCTTTCATATTATAAATCAGTTCCTTTTACCCTATTAATATGTTCAAAGAATTATAAAACACAGAGATTGAGGGGCGCCTGTGTGGCTCAGTCCACTCAGCATCTGACTTCAGCTCAGGTCATGATCTCACTGTTCATGGGTTCAAGCCCTGCATCGGACTCTGTGCTGACAGCTCAGAGCCTGGAGCCTGCTTCAGATTCTGTGTCTCCCTCTTTCTTTGCCCTTCCCCTACTCTCCTCTATCTCTCTTTCAAAAATAAGTAATAAAAACATTTAAAAAAATTTTTTAACTTTAAAAAAAACACAGAGATTGATATGGATTAATAAGAATGACACTGTTTGGCACCAAATCAATTTCATTATTTTGTAGTTGCAGTTAAAATAAATAACGGTATACATTGTTTAATAAACCTAAGAAGTTATAGAGTAAATTTCACTTAGCAATAATTCAGTGTAAAAAATATATGTGTATGAGTGTATGTATGCATGGACATGTACATGTATAAAAAAGTGTGTATATGTGTACATTATATAGTGTGTGTGTGTGTATTTTTCTTCTTTAAGCTGGTATTACCAAAACTAGAAATGTTGATCTATCTCCTTTCTCCCACCTTAGTGAACCAATTACTAACAAAGTTTTGATAACTAATGTGATACACTAATAATACACATAGATATAAGAAAAGATCAAGATATAGTACAAGATATATCAATCTTACTTAAATGAGATATCTTACTTAAATATGAAAGATGGTTTATTAATCCCAAACCCTACCCACTGTGAGGCAGTAGCATTATTGGTTATAGAGTATCAGTTTGAGCAAAAAAGCAGTCTCAATTCTCTCAAACTACTGTAAAGATGGAGCTGAGACACAGGAAAAAAAGGTAAGGAAATAACATGAGTGGAAAACTGAAGTGGCAATAAAATTATTTGGGGAAAACACAATTATCTAATAAAATAGAAAATACTTCTTTTTCCATAGACTGAGTCAAATAAATAAATGTGAAGAGAAAAAAAATTAATGAAAATAACTTCTTTCTCCTACAACTCCACATCCCACTCCTCAAAGGGGAATAAATAGACACACACACACACACACACACACACACACACACACTACCTGGAATGTCAACATAGCAACTGTCATAAAAACTGATACATATATCATCACAAAATAACCAAAGGAAAGGGGCATTCCACACAGTAAAAAAACAAAAACAAAAACTAGGTTCTAAATTTAGTTGGCCAAAGTATCTCTAAAATGACCAAAAAAAAAAAAAAAAAAAAAAAAAAAAAAAAGAGGAAAAACTCCTCTAGCTTCTTTAATTTTTAAAATTAGAATTCTAAATTTAGAATTAGAAGATAAATAACAATTATTTGTGACTTCTGAAGGTTTTTAAGGAAAAGGCTTAGCTACTGAAAGAAGTTGGTGTCATAGCTTTATTTATTTATTTATTTTTTTAATGAAATTTATTGTCAAATTGGTTTCCATACAACACCCAGTGCTCATCCCAAAAGGTGTCCTCCTCAATACCCATCACCCACTCTCCCCTCCCTCCCACCCAGTGTCGTAGCTTTAAAATAAGTTTAGAAATAATGTGCAAATGGGGCTCAGTTTCTACTCTAGAAAAGATAATTAGAACCCTAAAGAAATAATCCAGAAATGAGACAGCATAATTCTTCTTCATAAGTAGGATTTCTTAAAAGCCTATAAATTCATTACTCAAATTTCTTAATGCTGCTCAAGGTTAGGTAAGATTGAACTTGAAGGAAGATGACAAACTAGGTGATGGAACTAACTAAAAATGTTTTACCTGGACGATAAAAACTTTGAGTTGAAAGGAGTCAGGGGAATGGTATAATAGACATTGAGCGGTCAGATCAGGTGATAAACAAACAAAAAGGAATATAAAGGAAATCAACACTAGAGTGTTGTTCTGTGGTCTTACAGCAGGGTAAAGCAAACACATACGCTTGTGGGAAAGTAAAAACATGTTGCTATCTTTAAATAAAGCAAGGTCAAGAAAAAAAAAATCCTGTTATTTTTTAACTAGTCAAATTAGAATTTAGAGAAAGGCAAAGAGAAATTTAAATACTATGTTGAAGAAGTAGGAATGATTAACCTAAAAATTAATTTTAAATTTTTAGATATTTATCATATAAAAAAGTAAACACAGCTTACCAATGAGTGTGTATATGGATTATGATTTTCTTTTTAAGATTTTTTAGTTTTTTAAGTAATCTCTGCACCCAACATAGAGATCAAACTCCTGACCCCAAGATCAAGAGCTGCATGCTCTACCAACTGAGCCAACTGAACCAGCAAGGCACACCTGGATTCCACTTTTAAAGCTCAAGCTCATTTATGAAAATGTTACAACCTCAGTTACAACATAAAAGTGAAATTTCAGGCAGACAGTTAACCAATTATTTTATGGGTAAAGAGGGTGAATTAAGAAGATCTAGCCAGACAACTGGTAGTACTAGTTGAAGCAAGACAGAAAGGTAAGATATTGCACCAGCATTTTACACAGAACTGGGTACACAGAACTAAGTAGCCTTCAGTCTTTATGCAACTATATTGCTAAATTATTTCTGGACCTTATTTCTGCACAGACCACCAAGTAGCAAACAGTTGTGACATCTAGTGTCTACCTAGTGAGGGAGATCATGTACATTCTCCTGGAACTGAAAGATGAAACCTGGAATAGATATGACTCCCAAGCCCCAAATCCGGTCATGATTTGGTTTTCTGGCTGAATACCGCCAATAATCTTTCCCTAAAACCAGAAGCTATGTACGGTACATTGCACATGAAATAAATTCATTAGATTATACAGCACTTAAAGTAAGTTGTTACACATTAGAGACCTTTACCATAATAAAAGAACCAAGTTTTTAATCATGTAAACAAATATAGTGCATTTAGCTTCAAGAAAGAGTATTCAACTATGAGCTAGAAAAAACTAATTTCTTGAACCCACACTTGTGCTTGTTGGCTGTGTGACCTTGTACAAGTCACTTAAACTCTCTTAAGACTCCGTAAAATCAAAATAACAACACTTGCTTTAGCTATTTCATAGGGCTATTGTCAGAATCAAACAATGTCTAAAAGTGCTTTGAATGTTGAAACACACTATACAAATGGAACTGAAATTAGTGACTTTATAAAGACCATGTTTACATCTCATATTGGACTATAGGGAATATAATGCCTAAGAAAAATTATAGCCAGAAAAGGTTAAGAGCATGACAACCAATAAATGCTACTGTTTATTATTATTAGTAGTAGTAAATATTTCTCAGAAACAAGTTTGTATTATAGAATAGCTCACTAACCAAGTGGAGACTCAATGTCAATATCACTTTACTTGGAATAATCTATTCTGGAAAGCAAAAGTACAATATTGGCACACGCCAAAATTGAATTACATTGACGAATACTCTGTAGCATAATAAAAGTTCAACCTGAAATCCATGAAAAATAGTTAAAACAAAACAAAATAAAACTATTAGAGTGTTCAAGAAATATGAACTGACAACATGAGCTTGAACCCCTTTAGTAGTCCAGGACATAAAATAATACACAAACACGCCAACATCCTATGAAACTCCTAATGGAATTTTGGAAGCAAGAACTCAATTAGGGAAGACTAATTCATGACCTTTTCCTCTTTTATTAACTAGTGCCATAAAGGTAACTTCATTAAGTATTTACTAGATTCTTAACACTACAGATACTTAGCTAATTAATATTCAATCCTGCAAAAATTTTGTTTAATGTTATATTTATATGATTACTAGCACCACAAAAAACAAATAATTACTATACTTCATATGTGTAAGTATAATCTAACCTTAGTTAAAAGCAAAATCTATTAGACTCTTTCAAGATTGACTATTAACCAGATAATTCATATGCTGAAATGGACTACCAATTAAATCTGAATATAAATGGATAAAACATTGCATAAAGAAGAATTCACATTTGTCATTTTGTAGGGCATTGTTATAGTTTTATTGTGAAAAGTTCTACTTTTTTAGCTTAAACAAATCACTGAAATATTGAAGTATTTTATTTCCTAAAACAAGCTAAGGCACAATGAATGAAGGAAGCATGTGAACAAATGGTGAGCTTATAAACTGGGAACAGCTGGAATGACTTATGCTCATAAATCACCGGACACTCAATTC